GGAGATGTCGGGGTGATAGTACGTCCACTGCACGCCGCCCTGCATCACCACATGAACAAAAGCCGCCTCAGGTGGTTCATTCGGGTAGGAAATTACCCCATACGGCTCAATGCTGACCACCTCCGCCTTACCCCGTAGGAGGTCCTCGAGATCCGCAACATCGAGGGGAAAGGACGCGCTGCCCCCGATCAGGTCTTTCGAGGCCTCCACAAGTGCCTTGCAGAGTTGTCCGATGGCCGAAACGATGCACTCATCGCGCAGCTCGGCGTACCGCTTGGTCGATCCCGCAGGGCGATTACACTGCAGCCGCGCCACCGTCGCCCGCTGCCTCTTCCGGATTTGGAATCGAAGCTGCAAAATCGGGGCGAAGAACTTGCGGATCGCCAACCCTGCAATGGAGCTAAGTGCGGTGTTGATAAAGGTGAGTCGTTCAGCGCTCGCTTCTGATTGTTTGGCAGCTGAGTGACGGTGCATGAGCGACTGATCGACGCTTGCTCGATGCGACGAGCTCCGCCTACGTCGGACGACGGAGCGCGGGGCGTTGGAGATAATCCCTGGCTGCGTATCAACCATTAAATCAATTGAATTCTGCCTCGAAGGTAACGTAAATCAAACAATAGGAGGAGAAACGAATAAAAAGGCAACTTTATTACTGCCCTCTCCTGAATTTGTAGATGTATATAGGTACTAATATTACAGAAAAATAATAGCTAATGTAATTTAATATGCACAAATACTTTTAGAAAGTTCCCGGAAAAATACACTTTCGAACCTGTAAGAATAAAGAATAGCAGAGAATAAGGAAAGATAGAAACGGAAAAAAAAAATTACATACATGCAGTGCGTGCTCCACTTTTCCCACTCAGTTCCTTGTCATCATCAGGACTCGTCTTGTATAATTGATTTATGTACGTATGTTTATCTATATACATCGAGAGAGTTTGCGCGCGAAACGCAAGTAGAGTCTAATATGAACAAAGATTGCTTTGGATCATCTATCGAAAATGTTCCCCTTAGTTGTTTCGTCTTTGGACAGAACATTTGCAGGAAATACCGGCAATCCAATTGAATACACGTAGAGTATCAGCCCTAAATTGGATGCATAAAGATTAACAGCTTTGGAGAATATAAATAGATGATTATATAAACTGCTACGAGGTTTGCACCTTGAGTGAGAAAGGCACATAAATACACGTATAAAAACCATCCAGAAAACGGAAGATGGGGATTTCGTAGCACCGTGAACTCCACAGTATAGTGCGAAAGCCAGGAATGTCAAAAGGGGAAAATATATCAAGATGACCTAAATCTTTTTTCCCCTTCCCCCCTCTCCTCTCCACACATCCTAGTTTCGAGGCTTAAAGGTCGACAGACGGTCCGCCATGGCCTCCTCCTCGCTTCTGGTTATCGTAGAGGTCTTGGGGTCATGAGGGTAGACGTACTTTTCAAAGAGCTCTTGGTCTAGCTTTGCATAATCGACGAACGAAAGGCGCTGAACACACTCCTTCAGTTCACTTGATGCCAGCTTTCTCGGTTCTTTTGTTGGTAAGTACCGGGCCTCAAGTTCTTGTCGCCTCTGTCGAGACTTCTCAAGTTCAACATTGTACATTCGTCGCACCTGGTCTTCAATCTCGCTACTACTTAAGGTTTTGTCATTTTTATGAACCTCAGCCTCAACCTTCTTCTCGCGCTCCTCCTTGGAGAGCTGGAACCGTTGGAGTTGTAAATTATACATACGTTCAATAAGACGATTCTCCTCTTCCTTTGAAATGGCTTCCTTAGATTTTTGAGGAAGCATGCGCTTCAGTGTGTTCTCACGCTCAGCTTCACGCTGAGCCATCAAATCCATCTGACGGTAGTACAGACGCTGGATAAGCTTCTCCTCGTCATCCCGACTGATAGTGCATAAGTGATTGCTGGGGAGCGAATAATTTTGATTATAGGTCATCGCCAAGTCAAGTCAGTAACGATAACGGTACAGCAGGAATGATAATAATCGATTTTTAAAATGGAATGCAATGCTGTTGATGTCTCGATGACTTCATACTCATTACAAAAAAAAAAGAGAAAGGCGTAAAAAGATCCGGATATATCGAGAGAAAGATTTTTACAAATTTAGCAAAATACACAAGGAACAAGCAGACTAACTTCAAAGAATCCAAAGAAAGTTGAGACGAAATGTCCCACGGAGAGCCTCGGTCTGAAGAAAAAAAGGATGTATAGAAATTTCGAAGCTACTTCACCCTCCCCCCATCTCTATAACCTTCGATGCGTGCCTCATTCCTCAAGACTAGTTGTCGCGGCAGATCTTGAGTTCCTCGGTAAAAACAGCATCGGCCTCTGTGTAGGCATTTGTAGGATCATGATAAAAGCTCTCCGCTGATTGAGCCACATTCACGGTGTGGGTCCCGCGGACCTTCCTAAATCCATTAAGCAGCGAATCCGAAGCAGACACGCTCTCTTTTCCACCCTCGCTGCGTGCATCTTTTTGGGTGAAAAAGAGCTGCGCGGCCTCCCGTACATGTGGGGCCGCGGCCTCTTCCGGAAGCACGTCCAGATCTACATGGCCGAGCAGCAAACACCGTTGCTTTCCCCAACGAAGGCGTTGGTAGGTTTGGGCGAAATCGTCACTTTCTAGGAGGATCACGAGATCGTACGCGACGCCATTGCTGAACTGCGCCTCGCGCAAAAACCGGGTGCGTTCGCGGTAGTTTTGCAGTGCGTTCACCCCAGCGAAGCGCTGAGAGGCCGCGGCCCTCGCCTCCACCGCCGCGTCGTACGCCAACGGCCGTGGCAAGCAGGCACTCCGCGCGGCCCGCACCTCCGGGCAATAGGAAGAAAAAAACGCGTGAAACTCCAAGCAAAGCTGCTTCTCCACCCGCTTATAGGCCAAGGCGAGAAGCTGATCGTGGTGCAAGACCCGATCGGTCGCCTCCCGCGCGAGGACCATCTCCAGCGGGGAGAACGGGTTCAAGATGAGGTCGACCTTCTCGGGCACGATCGAGGCGTTGTGGAGGAGGGTGTCGACATCCGCGAAGTACCCAATGAAGTGTGGGTAAACGAACGGCCCGAAGGTGGGAAGTGGGGTGGCTTGCTTCAGGTTAAAAGGTCTCACACGCGCGACCGCCTCCCAGAAGGCCGCCGTTGCGAAGTCGGCCCGTTCCGCCGCGGAATTGGTTTCGGCATCACCTGACGGCGCCGTACGCGGAGGAAGTTTGCGTCGCCTGCGAGCTTTTCGGAGTGACGGGGTACCCCGCGTTGGACGCCTCGCCGCCCTCCGTTTCGGGCTCCGTCTCACCGCATTTGAGCTACGAATCGCCCGACCGGCGCATTTCGATTTGGAGTTCCAATCCTCAGAAACGCCTTCGGGCTCTCCCATGACATCAAAAAGTGCTTCGGCGTTATTCAGGACGCCTGAGGTGAGGTGAGATGCGCTCGAAGTGGGCGCGACTGCCGCCTGCACATCAACCCCATCCCCACTACGCACGAGGGAGGTGGGGAGTTCATCCGGTGATCGCCACGGTGGATCATCGCGCGCGCCTCCGTTTCTCCACCCCCAGTTTTCCGGGGGCACCACGCGTGGCAGCGAGATGACCTCCCCCTCCGTCGCCATGCCGCCGCCGCTCGCCCAGAGCACCCCACTCGGATCCCGCGTCGTGAACCCGAAGCGCTGACAAAAAATGCGAAGATACTCAATTGAGGTGAAGACGGGCAGTGCGAGGTAGCGATCGAGCGCGAAGACCTGCGGTTTGACGTCGTACGGATCCCACGGACCGACCGGGGACGCGAGTGAGAGCAACACGCCGCCGATAAAACGCCGAATGAGCTCCAACTCCGCCCGCGCGTCGCGGTTCTCTGTCAGGGTGAAGGCGATCGCGCTCTCCAGCTCGGTGTTGCGTGGGAGGGCGTGGGTGGCCTCTTCGTAGAGCTGCCGCTCGGCTCGGGCCGCATCCCCATCAGGATCCGGGGCCGCGGACGATGAACGCGGACGGCGGTTTGATTTTTGGTGGTGCTGTTGCGAGCAAAGCTCTAATAGCCGCCTCCGTTCCCGCAATCGAGCCTCGGCATGATGGTTCACGCGCTTAAGGTCGAGAAGTTGACGGTTAAGACTACGCAATGGGCGTGATTTGGATGAACCCAACGACGCACCCCGACGAAAGAGAATGGTACGCAGCATAAAGAACCTTGGCTTTGTTGGCCTGTTGGAGGGCAAAGAAGCATATATCAGAAAAAGCGAAGAAACAAAATGTTGATTAATAAAAAAATTATATACTCAAAATGCATATCAAAGCCGTAAAACCAATTTAAATAGTAGTGAAAGGGATAGCAGTTCTATACCTGAAAAGGGTATGGTCCATAAAACAAATAGTGCATATATTAAAAGAAAAAAATGGGTACATGAGAATGGATTTTATTGACAACTTCCTCACATTAAACCCTCTCTTCTGAACTTTTTATATGCACTTGCACAGGGAAAGATCTCGGAGGAAAGGCTTAGCGCCCCAAGACTCCAAAATGGACACTTTTATGTACATACGTCTCATATGCCATCGAATTCATCGCAAAAAGAATGGAAAAAAAACACAATAGGCGAACTATAGTATTATCTTTCCTAAATACATGAGCAACTAACTCAAACAAAACATATACAATGTTGCCTAAGTGTATTGTTAATAAGAAATAATTACAATAGTAATAAGAATGATGATGATGATGATGATGATAATGATGATAATGATAGGACGGGCACTCCGCGCCACACTTTAGAATTATCTCGGAGATGTACATTTTTTCTCCTGTTTCATTACAAACTCACCTTACTGCCTTTGAACGGGAGTAATTGATGCACTTGTCACGTGAGATCCGTCGCGTAATTGGACGGAAGAATTGCTCACGAATAGCGGCCGGCCGTACAATGATGACCTATGCATCGAACTCGGCATCCCTTCATAAGGCAGTCCGTGAGAGTCAGAAAGAGGGCCTCCCCCCACGCGGGGTCCCCCGTTATGGGCTATGGGAGGAAGTTTGGCAGAACTTGGTCGTCGAGAAATGGGCCCATGACCGTCCTTTTGGAATATTTGATTTAAAGCATCCTCCAATGCGTAAAGCTCGCGTCGGTCTGCTTTATTAGTCTCTAGTAAGCCCGCCGTCACCTCAAGCTCCTCGATGCGGTGGATCAGATCACCGCTTTGCCCCGCGGCACGTGGGGTGTTGTGGAAAGATCGTCGCTCCGTTGGCTGCGAGTCCTTCCTGTACACGACGGTCGACGATGTAATGCTGTTTGAGGACTCCTGCCCCACACCAGCGCCATTAGACGGTTGAGGAGTGCCGCTCCTACCTGTGGCCGTATTTCTCTCTGAAGGAGATCGCAAGAGATTCATCGCGGCCTCTAAACCTGATATCCGATTCGCGAGGTCCTCCACAATTACGCCTACCGCGGCGTCACCTCGGCTCCCTTTCTTCTCATTCTGACCAAGAGAGCTGGTAACCGAGGTTTCGTCCTGATTGCTCATACTAATGTCTCTTGGCTTCGTATTCGAAGTTCCATTTGTTAGATTGGGATCGGACTTGGCATCCTCCAGGTCATACAAGCGCTTATTTAAGGTTTGCAAAGTTTCCTGAACCTCAGCTATAATACCGCGTGTGTCGGAAGCATTGCGATCGGCTTTCATTTTTATAGAATCCGTCGCCTGTGTGTTGATCATTAAGCGAAGTACTTGCAGCTCTTCGCGAAGCTTCTCAAAGGCCGGTAAGCTGAGCAGGTACTCAGCGCGCTCATCGACGTCGTGCTCGAACTGAGAAGGGTCCTTTTCGTCGCGGCGGGATAAAACGGTCATCTGCTCCAAATTCCCATTCCAGAGATCCGAGAATGCCCGCACCGCGGTCAACGACTCCTCCAGGTTGTTCAACTGAGTCGAGTTGCGGTTCATCTGGCCTTCCAGCTCCTGCAGGGTCGTAGCCGTGGTGTCCATTGTGGACTGGAAACGATTTTCAACTTCTCGACGCTCGGCTACGTCTTCAGCCTGCTTTTGGGTTAGATCCTCCACATTCTTTGAGAGATCCACGACTGTTTTCCGTAACTCCTCGACGTTTTCCACCATGGATCCCCTGTCGCCCGCCTTGGCTTTGAGTTCATTAACCTCCTCTTGCAAGAGCTCACAATTTTTTGTGAGCGTGACTACGCTCTTTCGCATTTCCTCGATGTCATCCTCGTGTCCATTGCCTTGCTCAATGATAACACGAATAATGTCAGAGAGACGACTATAGCTAAGGGTTAGTTGTGCTTCGATAATATCTGGGACCGTTCTGAGATCGAAATCCACTGTAGGCATTTCCTTTGGAGAGATATAAAGGGTATTATGTGTAAAAGTGTGTACGTGTACACAGTTAATAGCACAGTTCGGGTTCCACAACAGTTATTTATAAATGTACACAAGAATAAACTATACCACACAATCAGAACTAGAAAAGAAAAAAATCAGACCTAAACAGGAAAGTAAAAGATGAAGAAAAGGAATGAAAAGGAATGAAAAGATGAATAGGGAAAGAAATACCCGAACTGAACCACAAGAACAATAGTAAATAATAGAATCTGAATTGGGCCCTCACGCTTAGTTCACATTGCTATAACGGTAGACATGCTATGGAAAAAGCAAGAAATACACTTTTTTGACGCATGTGCAAACATATTCCACACAAATTTGGTGCGCGCCTAGGCAAGCATGCATATCTCGCTGCATATTTGGAGATTATATCTCATCAATGCTCCTTCGGATTCCATTATGGTCAAAATAAATCAACTTGGATAGTCATCGCCTCTAAATACTCTCTGGTAGGGCAAATAATTCTATGTGGAAAGTCAGAAAAAAGAGTACATTAATATACATATATAGGTATATAAATTTACCTACTAAAAATAATCTCCCCAAACACATTATGATACTTCTTGCGCGCACCACACGCAGTTCAGCACTACGCAGGGCTTGGTGTGCACAAAGGGGGATGACATTAAGATTGGTAGATTAGTCATCGAACGACCTTCCCAGGCATCTGCGGAGGAAGCCACAAAACCGGCGTTCTCTATAACATCCTGCGCTGCAGCCCCTATCCGTACCCCACTGATCCCATCCATTGGTGGAGACGTGGTGGGCGATCGCGTTTTTGTCGCCGATATTGAATCAACCCCATCCAAGGCCTTTCCTGTGGTGGAGGACCCCATCACAGTCGCATCCCTTGAAACCAACGAGTTGCCAAAAATGGCGGCGTCTGGAGGCCGCAGTCGGTGGGAAGCAAGGGCCCGAGAAGCGGTACCGCCCGACTTGTCGATGCCAACCCCGGTCGGGTATGAACCCACCATCCTAGTCGAAGAGAGGTAAGCGTTGGGTTTGGCATTCGAAAACCGCAGCCACTCGGACGCGGCTTTGGAGCCCGAATTCGAGGGCCGGACAAAGGACATGGGTTGGCTTTCCCCAGCCTCATCCCCCTCCTCAGTGGAATGCAGCACGATGCAGGAAGGTGGGCGGGCGCCGCCCGAATGAGACGCCAGGGCGGGGGTGACCCCATTCTCCGCGGCAGCATGGAGCAACCGCTCTGCAGCCGCCCCGTCGAGGTTGCCTTCTAAAGCGCGGTTGGCCGAACCGCCGTTGGGGGCCCCGTTGTTGAGCAAGGCGATGGCGCGGTTGACCTTCGTTATGCGCTCCTGAACCTCCTTTTCCATGCTGTCGATTTGGGTGATATAGTTATCCCGCAGCGTCTCAACAAACGGGTTCGGCGCGTCCTCGTGCAGAGTCCTATCGGTCTTGTCATCATGCGAGAAGGTGAACCCCTCGTTCAACCCCGCATGCGTGTTAGGTGCGGCACCGGTGAGCAAATCCAATCGCCGCTGCAGCGTCATGACATCTCGCGATAGATGCTGAATACGCATTAAAGATGTTGAGACGTCCTCGCGTATCTTCCGATCAATCGAAGAGGTCGAAACCGGCGTTGGTCGGTTCATAGACGCGCGACCAATAATCCGAAGCCGCTCCTCAAAGGACTGCCACCGCTTTGCAAACGACTCCTCTAGCTCGCAGACTCTATCCTGCAGCACAACCATGTCCTCCCGTACCCCTTTATCCGCCAGGGTGGGCGTCGATCGAGAAAAGGGCATCATCGCGGTGTTCGGGTTACCCGCCGTCATAGGGAAAGGCGTGTTGACGTTAGTCCTCGAGCTCCATAAGTCCGTCGCGCCGCTGGTGTTGCCGGCGGGTGTTCGCTCCGTCTTGGCATTCTCTTGCCGACCACCTGGTGAGGGTCGATGTTTTCGTCGGCCTAAGATGGTGGTGGTACCACCCTCGCCCTCCTCGTTCGGTTGTGAGTCGTGTTGCGGCGAGAAGGATCCGGTCGTGGCCTTCTGGTTTTCCTGGGTGTTCGCCATCACATGAGCTATGAGGTTCTGAATGATCGTATTGATCTCCCTAAAACGCTTCTCCACGCCGCGCTCCAGCCGCTCGACGGATTCGAGTGAAGCATTCCCATCCTCCCGCTCCCCTGCATCCCCAAAGGCCTCCTTCGGGGGACCTGATAAGAGCGGGAGCGTCGAGGCGTTGGGCGCGAGGGCTTGGGGTTGGAGCCGTGGGCACTTCCCTTCTCCTGCGGGAACTGGTGCCTCCCCTCGAACCCCGCGGGATCGCGTCGCGTTCCCTGCGGTCGATCCCACACCCCGCTCCAAACGAGCCTCCAACTCCTCAAACCGCCGCGTGACGTACTCCCCGACCTCCTCGATATACTGACGGGCCTGAAGGTCGACCACGGGGTGCGCCCCAGGGCGCTCCGGACGAGGCGGCGGCGCGATTCTCGAGCTGCCAAAATGCTCCTCCCCCCCCCCTCCCCCTCCCCCTACCACTCCCCCGCCTTCCGGCAGGGATTTCGCCTGCGCGTAGAACTGCACCTCCAACTCCTGAAGCCGCTGAAGGGCCTCCGTGGCGGTTTCGATCGCGCGGGTCGCGATCGCGTCGGATTTTTCCACCCCTCCAGCAGGGGTGGGGGTGGCGGCGGCAAAGGCGTCTTCGTCGCCCCCTCGTCGCCTCGACGCGCTCCGCGAGCGGCTGGAAAGCTGCGGGAGGAGCCCCGTGCTGCCCACCGCGCTGGCAAGGGAAGGGTTCGCAACACCTGACGGTTTGGAGGCGGCCGCCGTTACCGCGAACGTCCGAGCCTCCCGCCGCGTCGTCCGAAAGGCGGGTAAATCCAATAAGTAAGAGGTGTACTGGTTTGGGATCAACACCGGATCACCATGACTCTCGATCAACTCGAGCACCTCCTTCGGCTGCGCCCCCCACAGTTGCATGAACCCTTCGAGTAGTTTTAAGCGCTTTTCGACGTCTTCGGAGGCGGAGACCGGATCGGGCTGCGATTTGCCACCGGGCAGCGACGAAAAGGTGACGCGATTCATCTTGACAACCCTCGATTGCAGGTTGCTCACCTGGTCCTGGAGATCGCGGACCACCACCGCTTGCTCCGCCGCGTGGTCGAGAAGATGCTGAATGATAAGCTTCAGGCTACGCGGCTGCACGGTCAAATGCCCTTCAAAGAGCTTCCCATCGTCCACAAAATGAATCCGCCTAGACATGCGGGGAGCACCACCACTGTCAGATGCCACCGCGATCGCTGCATGAGGAAGTTCCAATTCATCGTTGGAGAAATTTACATGCACCTCGTGCGAGCGAGCAGCAATAACGTGCTGCTCTGGTGATGCTCCACTCATTCACACAGAACACCGTTCAGAGGTCTACCTTTAAAACAGAAAACAAGGTGCTTTGTATGTATATCTTAATTTGCTTTTGAATGTGACTTTTGAGTTGATTCACAACAAAGGACCTAGGCCTTTTAGGGTTATAAGCAGTGAAAGATAAGCTGCAAGTAAAGAGAAAGAGCATAAAATAGCACATAAATGGAATTTGCTTGCAGAAGCTCTCAAGGGATATAAAACTAATTGTAAGAAAAAATCGACTAATAATAATACCATCAGAGTGAAGAATGCCCTCGACTTGCTAGATATACATATATATCTATATAATTTGCAAGAGTGCCCTCTTCTTCAAATCCAGCGACTGATATAACTATGGGTTGTCCGCTAAACATACATTTTTTACGGTCAGACGAATTTATTTTAACTCATTCTTTCCAAAAAGGTGGAATGCGAATAATAATCGAAAAAGTTGAGCGAATCAAAGAGATAGCATAGAGGGGTTTCTTACCATCCCACTGCCTTCCACCAAAAGTAAACCGAAATAGGAAAATTAAAGGGCTCTTACGACTCTGATGAAAGTCAATAGCTACGGCTGAATCTCCTGTTGTCGGAATGGTGTTTTCATGTTCAAAAGATGATAATGGTGGGCATGAAGCGATTACATACAAGAGGGGTAATCAAGCATCGTTTTGACCATTAAAAAAAAACTAATTATCATCCAAGAAGACGAAAACGTTGGCAAATAGCAATTTGATTGGGGTTCATTGCTAACCTTGGAGGCAGCGCACGATGCAGCATTCCTGCGGCCGGAGCTAGCCTCCACACATTAATTTGGGAAGACGCAATGGCTAAAGGAAGACAACACGTTAGACATCCCCTTGAAGAGTCCCGCAAGATATCGTCATCACACGCAACCGGGAGTACAGTCCTCTGATCGCAGCGCGATCAGGGTGCGGTGTCTGTTTTCATTTGCATGAGCACACATTATATGATCCGTTTCCTACCCCAGCAGGTATTAGTTCTACCGTATCACTTCTTTGCCGAGGATGTTGTGTTGCTGATCACACCACATCAAGACTCTCAATCGGTTCCCCAGGCATACAACTGCCATTTTCTTGCATCTGAGTCCAGTTCCTGCTCGCAGAGTTTCCAGTTCAAGTTTCCTCATGGTGAATCTAACTCCGACTCACTGTGGAAAAAGGAAGTGTCCTTCAATAGAAGCAAACTTGTGACCTCATCGCTGAACGCCTACAGCATCGGAGAAAAGATGGAATCACAAATTGAATCTCTCACCGCCGTTGAAACTGAAGTACCTATTGGGGGTAAATTCTTGTCTGAACACACTATACTTCAAGACAAGGTAAACAAGTCCTTAAAATGCGAGATGTACATAAATATAGGCGTACGTATCTAAGTGGATAACGATACAGGCAGCCTATTGTGTTTCTGACGTATAGGCGAAGAGAAAAGTTCGGCGCACTAAAACTTAATCGGGGCAGACTTAAAGGGAATTTTAGAAGGGAAAAGTATCTCATGATACTTCAGAAGCAACACTCCAGCATAACCCATTCCTACGTATTGAGTAACAAAACAAAGATGAATAGATACATTTATCAGCAAATCACCAGCAACGCATGTATGCATCTTTCCCACTCAAAAACAGGTAAAAACATAAATAAATTTTCAAAAGTTATCAATTGAGAAAAATGGTGCGTTTAGCTATGAAGAAATCCCACAAGAACAGGGAAAAAGGATTATAGCAACATTTCATCTAGTGTCAGCACCAACTCGAGAAAATAAAATTATTCGTCTTATTATACCAATCGGTTACAACACATATGCGGTTGGGCTAAGTCTTTATGGTGAAATAAAACTTGAAAAAAAAACAGTCCCCCCCCCCTCTCACCCGCTCGATCACGACTATAATTCGCCATTTTTAGTCGTTTAGAAAACTAATATCTGCAACAGGAAAAATAAATTTGAAAAGGAACGAAGCGTCACCAAGAGGGATTGTGTTATTCACATGAAAATTAAAAATAATGGGGAAAAAATACAAGATGACATTATACTTCATCAAGTTATCCTAAAACAATCCCACTTTGGTGGAGAAGAGATTACACGAATTTTTTATTTTTTCTGATTCTGCGATTGCTAGCAGTAGAAAAGAATCAATCCTTTTCTAGGGGGATAGATGTAGGAAAAAGGAAAGCAATCCATCCTCCCAAACTCGCAAAAAAAAGCAAAGGATAAAAACGCAGATCGCGGATGATGTGACACTTTTTTCCCCTCATTTCTTATATACTATGTAGACACCCTTTCATGATGTTACTAATAATATTTGTAATTACTACACTTTCTTTTGGAATGTCATCCCACTGTACAGAAAACATAGCGGCATCTTAAAAAGAAAAAGAAAAAGAAAAATCAACTTTATCCCAATTGCACATTCATCATGTGCGACTAGTTTATAATTTAATATATCTGAGGTCTCGCCACGGACGAGCCAGAATGGGGCTCATTTAAGGCTGGTGAGAGAATTGATATAGAGTAATTTTGGTTGACTCGTGTCGTGGGCCCGCCGTCCTCATCATCGCTATATGATACGTTGTGCTGCGTCAATGAGGTTTGGTACTCCTCAGAGGAGAAGCCAGTGGGGTGAGGGCCAGGAAGCAAGGTTACTGGGACATGGTTACGGCTCAGATCTCTGTTCGGACTCCAATTACGAGAGGATACGTTTAGTTCACCTTCGGGCTCGTCCTCTGATTCACCCGAATGCGCAAACAATGTCGTAGGATTGACGGCGGAGGATGGGTCCAACTCAAGACGAAAATCATTCCTGTTCTGTGGGTACTCGTTTAACGATGAATTCGACTGCATCATAGTGCTGCCCGTCGACGAAGAATTTCCAGCGCATGAAGAGGAAAAGATGTTATGTACGGTGATCTCTCGTGGAGTACCCATAGACTGAGACGCCTGAAATGTAGAGATTGAAGAAAAATGCTGAGACCCAAGGCCACTACAGTCGTCCACCTCCATAACCATCTCATCAAGCGGAAGCGTAATAAAAGGAACTGTTTTCATTTCATCACTAATACTTACACTACAATCACTAGACCCGTTCTTGGGCTCTCTCCAAAGAGAGAGAGGGAACTGCTGCACTGAAACCGTCTGTGGATTTTTATTATCATCATAATCGATGTTCCCAAATTCAGAACCACAGGGAATCATGGCCTGACGAAGGTCGCCAAAATGTTGACCAGGGTTGAAGTGCTGTTCTATGGGTGAAAAATGTGGGAAAAAGTTTCTCTTAGCATTTTCCTTACTTTCAGAAGGGTTCATCGTTGAAACGCACAGGTTAGGCTTCAAAAAGCTACCATCCCACGGGGATCCACCCTCCGCCACGGTGGATCCGTAAGTTAAGCAACCCTGGACTGAAGCACAGGCCCCCACACTGTCGTGCTGCTCCGATTGGGGTGTCTCGACTTGTGCCTGCGGCACCACCTCGTAGCCTAGTTCACTTGCCACACGAGCGAAATTCTCGCCACACCGAAGCGTCAGCTCCCGAAGGGTTTCAAGCTCCTGGCCGCACCATAAGGGTGATTTGGTCTCGTTCGACACGTACCCTGCTGACGCGGCGAACCACTGCGACGAGTCAGTCGAGGCTGGTGCCACCTCGAGGTCCCCTTGTTCGCCGTCGAGGAGAAATCCAACCTTACGGGCTGTCCTTCCTTTGCTATGAGGTGATGGGTGAGATAAGAGGGACATGGATGAACGTAGTGCGGATGGTTGCCGCTCGCCGGGGTTCACCAACGAATCAGACATCGCTGTCACACCTGTTTTCGAGATACCAGGTGGAGCTGAGGTGCCCTCCATATGACCTTTGTACTTGGAATGACTAGAAAAATGAATATTCCCCCCAAAGCTTCTTATTTTAGAGAAGCTATATTGATTGTATCGTCTTTTCCTTTTACTGATACTTCCTAGGAGAGATCAGTACACAAATATGTATATATTTCCTTCAGTTTTTGTGCTTCCTGGCTTAAAGCTTGTAATCATGAGATTAAAAAATATTTAAAAAGTGATAAGAGAAAGTAAAACTACTCCTCTTTGGGTAAGAAGCGAAAATAATCAGCCGCACCACGTGAAACTTTATTGGTTCCTGTGATCATCAAACTACCTAGAATGTTAATGAACAAGAGATAAAAAGCTACCAACAGGCACAAAATAACATACTTCGTATTTCATGTTTGAACATCCCTATAAGTCATCCTCGTCTGAGACCAATAAATCAAAAGGCTAATATGTCACACGATATATATATATATATATATATATATATATGTATTGCAGCAGCTCTACAAAACCCTGAAATGATCCAAAGTGTCTTTATGGCGGTCCAATGGGACGCCTCATAGCAATCCGATAGGTTCGATTAGTGGCAATACTTGCCACCAGGAGTGGCTGAAAAAGGAAGAAGACCATAACAACTGCCGTCACAACGACCAGAAAGGGCTTTTTCAAACTGGGGACCTGTCGAAGATCTAAGCCAAGGTATTCGTCGTAAAAATCATATGCGTCAAGTCGCACTTGTAATTGATACAAGCAGCAACCAACAAAGACCATAAAAAAAACATGCAACCAATCCGCATAGGGGTAAGACATCATCACATGAAACGAAGTATTACGGTCAGAGTGGTCAAAGTCAGAGAGCATAAACCGCATCTGCCGGCGCTGCACAGCATCAAGCCCCAAGGTTCGATATATGATGTGGGTGTCCTCCTTTGCATTGCCATCGGTTGCGAGGTACTCATCACTCCTATCCGGGCGGCCAACCAACGCATTAAAGGAGCGGCGCAACAACGCTAAGGCCCCCTTCTTCCTATATGAGCCCTGAAGCCTTGCAATATCGTGTCCATCCTTCAGATTGCCAAGCTCAACGGACGGCGGAAAGGCATAGCCCTGGAAACGAACCAGACCATGATGCTCCATTAGAGAGATCGGGTGGTACGCGTGGGGGCCAGCAGAAAGCTGAGCTTTAAGCTTTGCACTAAGGTGTTGGTAGTCAACAGGCTCCTTCGTTTCATGACCACTACCATCCTCGGCTGACCGCGACTTCGCCTCAGACTGATTGGGGTCGTACCTTTGATACTTCTCCCTAAATTCCTTCAGGAGTTCAGGAAACTTTGACGTCCCCTGGTAGTACTCTAACCTCTTTACATCGAGCTCCAGTTGCTTTTCGAAGGGAAGCTCAGAGACCGTGGAGGACCCCGGCGAGCTTATTCCAGAAGCATCGCTCAGACTTACGAAGTCATGTTGGGGCGAAAAAATGGTATCACGGCGCTCCTGAGCCTCTCCCGAAAGGCGACGTGCCTCCTCGGGATGCGGCGTCCCGCCGTCAGACGAGCCTTGAGGCGCAGGAAGCGAACCGAATGCGGTGGGTTCGCGAACTCGATCCATTGATGAAGCATAGTAGTCACCCATCCCAACCGAGGGGGTGGCCTGCAAAATGGGCCGCCCCGCATTGACGCTGGTGCTCTTCACCCGAGCCGCATCGGCATCCATATACCGCGTGGCGGGCCTCGCTCGCGTGCGGTGCTGGGGGGCGTAGTGCTGGCCTAGACCTAATACCGGTACACGGTCCTTGTCCCCCCCTTCGGCTTCCTCTATTGGCAACGTGTCCAGGCCTGGGGTTTGGGCCCCGGGAAGGGGTCTTCCGCCCTTTAGAAAGCGCAGGGATTCGTCGTTGGGGTCGCGCTGTCCCGGAGGGGTGTAAA